CCCCCTTCATCTTTTCTTCTTTTCTTTTGTCTTGTTTTTTCTTCTTTTCTTTTTTTTCCCCTCCCTCCCTCTCTCTCTCTCTCTCTCTCTTTCTTTCAGGAAAGGAGAGAGGGAGAGAGAGAAACATCAGTTGGCTGCCTCCTGTACATATCCTACTTGGATTGAGCTCGAAACCTGGGTATGTGCCCTGACTGGAATTGAACCAGCAACCTTTTGGTGCATGGGATGACGCCCAACCAACTGAGCCACACCAGCTAGGGCTGTAGAATTTTTTAAATTAAAATTCTGGATATTAACCCTTTGTAATAGTAACCCTTTATAATTCTGGATAGTAGTCCTTTGTAAATTATGTGCATGGCAAATATATTCCTCCAATCTTCAGTTAGTCTTCATTTTGTTTATGATGTCCTTATGATCAGAAGTTAATAAACAATAGTTTTTGCATTTTTAAAATCATGGAAATTTTCAAACATAAAAGTTGAAATATATGTCATGATCATCCCTTAGATCTTACAGTCAACATTTTGCCATATTTATGTATTTGTGTGTGTGTGCATGTGTGAGGGTGTGTGTTTGCTGAATCATTTAAAAGCTGCATACTTTATGACACTGAAAAATAAGAGTACAGCCCGGCCAGGCGTGGCTCAGTGGTTGAGCGTCGACCTAGGATCCAGGCGATCGGGGTTCGATTCCCGGTCAGGGCACATGCCTGGGTTGCGGGCTTGATCCCCAGTCGGGGTCGTGCAGGAGGCAGCCGATCAGTGACTCATCATTGATGTTGCTATCTCTCTGTCCCCTCTCCCTTCCTCTCTCTGAAATCAATAAAGATACATATTTAAAAAAAAAAAAAAAGAAAAATAACACAACCATAATATCACCACAGTACTAAGAAAGTTAAAACAAATTCCCTGTGCCACCTAATATCCAGTCATATTCAATTTCCGTTTTTGTTCCTAAAATGTATTTTACAGCTCTTTATGATGAATTAGGATCCAATCAGGGTCCATATTTTGCATTTGTTTGTATGTTTCTTGAGTCTTAATCTAGAACAGCCTCCATACTTTGGTCTTTTTTTCCTCATGAAATTGACTTTTTGAAGAAACTGGGTTAGGTGACTTGTAGATTGTTTCACATTCTGGATTTGTCTCTTTAGTGCTGAACTTGCTTCCTTATTTGCTGTATTTACTTGTGGGTAGAGGGTGACTGCCCTTACTCCCAGATTCATGTTTGGGATTTGTTCTCAGTTCCAGTTCCAAATTCCCAGGGAAAAGATCAGATGGCTCCATCTTGGATTAGGTGTTATGTTAGCTTTTATTGCTGTTCTAACATATTACCACAATTTAGTGGCTTAAAACTGCAAATTTATTAGCTTACGTAAGTTAGAAGTCTGGCATGAGCCTCCCTGGGCTAAAATCAAGATGTTAACAGGGCTGTGTTCCTTTCTCAAGGTTCTAGGGAAAAATCCATATCCTTGACTTTTCTAACTTCCAAAGACTACCTACATTCCTTGGTTTGCGGCCCCCTTCCTCTGTCTTCAAAGCCAGCAGTGTTGCATCTCTCGACCATTCTCTCAGATCCATCTGATTCCCGAGTTCAGGCTCTCTGCATCACCCCTCACTTCCTGCCACTACTTTTGCTCTTTATTTTCTGAACCAAAGTGAATGACTTGATATTTAACTAGAGCTGTATTGGTGAATGTTTTAACAACTGGCCACTGGGGAGGCAGATGCCCTCATCTGTGGTAGATGCCAGTATTTATGTGGCATAAATAGTCCCACCGTGGGCAATTTCAAGCTACCAAAATGATTTCAACAGTCTTAAAAACTTCCTGAAGATGTAACCTTAGCTCCAGCACACCACCACATTTAAATCCTATTACATTTCACCTTCTGCACTATCCAGCTTGCTGTTGATGTTTGAAAACATGGTTTCCACTGTTCTTGTTTGTTTTGTTTCCACAGGGGCTGTACAAGCTCATTCTGGATATCATTGTGATGATCCGAGTGTGTAAAATGTTCCGCCAAGGCCTCAGGGGATTCCGGGAATATCAGATCATTGAGACTGCTCGAAGAAGGCACCCAATTTTCTCCTTCTGGGATGTAAGCAGCTGGGCTCAACAGGATTAGCAGGGCTTAAGGGGTTTCTATAAATAGCACCCCACTCCCCAGTCCCAGTTCTGTGCCAGCTGAAAGAAGAGAAAGGGTAAAGCAGAAGGGAGACCCCCAACTGTCATTTAAATTAATGATGACATTTATATTGGAGATGACTTGGATCATCAAGTGAGAGGGTTACCTAATACTGAATCCCAGAATTAGATAGCTTTGCACACGCAGTCACAGGCAATGCTGGACCATACAGGTCTCCACTGTAGCAGCCGGGTCTCCTGCCTTAAACTCTCAGCAGAGAAGGGCAGAGCAGAATGTGGGCTCAGGGGAAGGAGAAAGGGGTGATCATGCCCCGTTCCTCCTTGCAAATCTACCAAGGAGTTTGTCACTCCTTCTCAGTGTGGAAGGCCGGGGGCTGGTAGTGTTCAACCAGTACAACTCCCTCCATGTGGAAATAAATGTCTGGAGTGGGAAAGAAGCCATCTCCATTCCAACAGTGATCAAAAGAGCCAGAAGAAATCCAGTTGGGGCTTTCTAAATGCACACCAGTCGTTCATCTTCTCTGCCCTCTTTCCTGCCTCCTTACTTAAACGGGAAGGGAGCATTTGCAGGGCCCTGTTTGCTCTGGGACTGTGCTTTAGAAGGTCCCCATTTCAAATGTTTTATCCCAGTGGTATATCATGAGCTCTTTTTTGACTCAGAAAAGTCAATTACCATTCTGTGAACTTGTTCTGGTACTCCAAAGTTGTCTTCATTGCTGTCCAGGGCTCCAAAATTTCCCCTGCCCATTTTCCTGGAGTGACAGCCTCTGCTTCCTCCCTGCATGCAGCGATTCACTTCAGGAAATTTTCCACAATGGTTTTTGAAGGAAAGTAGCCAAGGAGAGAGAGAGCTAGCAGGGTGGTGGTGATGGGGCAAAGGAAGGTGGTCTTAGATTGGCTTCTAAGGGGCCAGCAGGTAATATAACTATATGTGTGTGGCTGAGTTTAAGATGTAGCAGAGAGAAAGGGCCTGTGGCCAGCTGGAGAAGAAGGGCAGGCCCCATCTAAAGACATTCAAATTAATATATTTTGAAGACACTATGCTCGCCAAACCAAACAAGTCTGCAGCCAGATTCTGCCCTGTAGTTGGGCCATGAGAGGGAAGGGATGGAGTAGAAGAATTGTAACCTGAGAGAGTGAGATTAGGTTTCAGGAAGGACATTCTGACTCAGGGTGCATTGCAGTGGTGAAATGAAGGGCCCTGGAGACTAGGAATCTTTGGTTACCAGCAGATGCGGACTGATGCCTGGGCAGTTGGAAGCTGGAGATCAGAGTCAGGTTTGTCATCAGGGGAGTGTAAAGATAAACCTAACAATGTTACCCAGTGAGGATGGCCTTGAGCAGAAGCCTCTCAAGGGCAGTGTATAGGGTCATATGACTACTGGGCAGAGAGCTGAGTGGCTAGAGCATAAGGTCTGGCAGAGAGAGCCAAAGACTGGTTTTCAGTGGAGTATGTGAATCCGGATCCTTCTGAACACCACCTCTTTCCTTCATTGGCCTCTCTGAGAAGTACCTCACGAATACCCAAAGGGAGAGGACAGGGATCTGAGTGGGCTCTGGGGAAGGACATGGATAGTTAGAGGTGTCTGAGGGTCCTGGTTTGGCCCAGTATGGTGTTCAGGGCCTTGTTTGCCCTTTTCTTTCACCTACTCCCCTACATGTTTTTCCCTGCTCTCTCTGCCTCCCTCTTTCCACATCCTTTCTGCATCTGTTAGGAGACAGGGTTGGATTAATTCATCCCTAAGACCTCTTATACCTCCTCCCCCTGGGCATCCTCCAGACAAGAACCGTTTCCTTGCTGTGTAATCCTTGGGCAAGTTGTCTGCTCCACTCAAGTCCAAAACGGGGCTTAATATCTGCTTTGGTTTGAAGATGAAACGGAGTAAGATAAGGAAGATGCGCCATGCCTGGCTAGCTACAGGTGGTCAGCAAAGGTTGTCTTCATTTTTCCTTCCTTTTGATCCCTCCTTTCTGTTATTTTCTTTCCTTCTGTACTTCCCCATTTGTTTGCCGCTTTTCCCTCTCCCTTTTCTCTCTCCATGCCTCCTCTCTCTATTCTCCTTTCCTCTCCACACGCCCATCTTTTTCTCTCTCCACAATTATTTGTTGTCACCGCTGGGCCCACGTCTTGTACTACTCAAGATCTTTTGAGCGGAGGTGGACATGAGAAGTCCAGATGGTAGGTTTCCCATGGCTTCCTGCCTACTGCGATGGTCCAGGTATGTAGAAGGGTTTCAGTGCAGAACTCTATGCAGTCTTGTTGATTCTCCTTCCTGTTCCTTTTTTTTTTTTTTTCCAGAAAAAGAAACAAGGCCGAATCATATTTGATACCATGGACTTCGTGGCAGAGTCGGTATGCATAGTTCTGACCTTGACGTTGGGAATTTTCTTTCAGCATCATGGCCTGGAGAAAGCACCGAGCTGGGCATCAGGACACCTGGGTTCAGTCCAGGTTCTGCACCAGCCCAGTTTGTCACCTTGAGCTAGCCATTTAGTTTCCTCATCTGTAAAAGAGGAAATCTGTGATCCCTTCCATCCTGGCATTCCAATACTGTGAGCCGCTCCTCACCCCAAATCTTTGTTGCTTTATAGCTGAGTAGAACCAGCAGGGGAGAGCTCCTGCACTTGGACCCATGGGAAAACAGCAAAAGGCACAGCAGAGGATATGAGAGCCCCAGATAGAGGAGAAATAATCTGGGTGGTGGGAGAAGCACTGGCCTGTGTGAATTCTGGCTTTACCTCAAACTCTCCGAAAAACGCTGCCACGCTTATCCCTGACCTGGGTGTAACACAGCCATTCTGATGAGGAAATGCCTTATACCTGGGTGAGGCTTTCAACTGTGATTTGTTCTCTGAATTTCAAGAATCATGGTTACCTTCCCGGCCTCTCCCTCCCAAATGCTGGATATTAATTAAAATTTAATTTAAAATTTAAAGCGACCTACTATTCCCAGGGAAGGTTTGAAGCCTTCACCAGGGAGGACCTGACTCGGCCCTGGCCTGGTGCAGCCATGTTGGTTTTTCTCTCAGGGAAAGGGGGCTGGGCAAGGCTTCATAACTGTCACCAGGACGGTCTTTGTCACCCTGGCCCACCTCTTTCTCCCTTTGGAGCCAAGGTGTGGCTTCTGTTGCCTGTCTCTCCTGGGCATAATCTAATTTCTCATGCCCCATTATGTATGAAGCACAATCAAGTCATCCAAATTCTGTTTGTTTCGTTTTTTTTCCAACCTCCCAAACTGGACAGTGTCTGACACTGGGCACTGAAGTTTATCCAAGTTTTGCCCTTCAGACAGGAGAAATGAGGGCCTCTCTGAGAGTCACAGAACCCTAGAGATGAAGGCAATTCCGTGTATAATGGAAGCGAGAAGAGAGCACAAAGGAAAAGTGCATTGTATAGACAAGGCCCTCAGCCCCTTGAATGATCTGATTCTAACACGGGGACAGAGTGGAGACCCAATTTAAAAGCCTACCCTTCCAGTGACTGTGGATGGGTACTGGCTTCTTTTTCTGGTGATGAAGAGATTATAAAATCCATTGTGGCGATAGTTGCACAGCTTGGTGAATACACCAACAATCATTGACATGTACACTTTAATTGGTGAGTCATATGGTACAGGAATTATTTAATCAAGCTGATCCACACACACATATTTATACATATATAACCTGCTCCTCAGGGCAGCACTTGGTTTGTGACCAAAAACTAAACCTCAAAATAGTCCATACTGGGGGTCTGTTAACACTAAACTTCTCAAAAAGAACCCTTAGAATTACAGAGACTTAGAATTGAATCATTTATTATAGCAATTGTGAGATATTGGAAACAATGGGTACATTTCAAAAACATAGTTTAAAAAAGAACACTGAGTGAACAAAAGCAGATTGCATAAATGATATCTGCAGCCTGACATGTAAATAAAAACAATACAATTCTATACATATTCTGTGGGCACTTGTGTAAGTATAGAATAATGTATAAAAATGGTAAACTGTTGATGGAGAGCAGATCTGGACTGGGGGGTGACATGGTACAAGGCAATTTTAACCATTATATTTTGATTCTTCATGGAAAATATAGTCATTTATTACTTGTGTTGTTTTCAAAGAGTTTGTTTATACATAAGAAACAGACAGGAAACAAGTATGTCAGATGTTAATGGCTAGCTCTAGGTGGTGGGATTAAGGGCAGTCCCTTTTTTCCCTGTACCCTTCCCATAAACTAGAGGAACACAGTGAGGGGATTGCTGGCCTGAAGTGAATGAGGGTGAGAGTGCTGAGAAATGGTATTTGAGAAGCAGGCAGGGACCAGGTCTCCCAGCCCTGTTTGAATATATTCCCTTTCCCCTGTTCCAGATAGTTCTTTGAGCTCCTAAGGTAGGCCTAGATCTGTGTCTGGTTGTGGGGGAATACTAGGTTGTATAACATTCCTACCTGCACTTAAGGGGTTAATTTGAATGAAGTTAAGATGATAAAACTTACTGCAGAAGTAAAATGAGAGTCAGTTCTGTAGGGGGTTCCTAAGGATTTGAGGGTCTAGTGAGAAAGATTTCCTGAAGGAATTAGGACCCCAAGTGAGCCCAAAGAATCAGTTTGGTTCATAGAAGCTAGGAGTGTCTGTATTTTGTTATAAATAGACCCTGTGATAGAAATCCTAATGGGTTATTAATAGCAAAAGAGTTAGAAAGGAGAAAGATTGGATTCATACACTTCGGTAACTCTTGCTGTGTGCTAGGCATGTTGTAAGTCCTTTACACATATTTACTCTGCTATTTATACATATAGTTCCTGCTGTTATCAGTAGGGAAATTGAGGCTCAGGGAGAAGTGACTTGTCTCAGGACAGACAGCTAGGAAGTAGCAGACCAAGGTTCAAGCCCAGACACCAGAGGCTGTGAGCTTTTAATCCCTGAACTACACAGCCTACATTTTTTCTCTTTTAAACTTTTTCTTCTTACACTGCCTTTCTGAATGCATATGGAAGGCTTTGGATCTGTTGTTCTAACGTCCAGAATTCTTCATCATGTTCCACTTTCATTTTGCTCCTATGACAATTACTATTCTGTAACACTGCCAGCATTCATTCACTGTTTCCATAAATATTTTGTTGAGTGCCTACTATATGTGAGACCTTATTCTAGACTGGTAAACAAGATAGACGAGGCCAATATCATGTTTATTTTGCAGCTTATTTCTAGAGCACCTTTGTCCCATAAAACTTTCTGCGATAACGGAAATGTTCAAGTCTGTGTTGTCCAGGTAGTAGTCAGCAGACACTTGTAGATATTGAGCACTTGTGTGACTGAATAACTTATTTTTACATAATTTAAATTTAAATAGCCACATGTGGCTACTGGCTACCATATCGGACAGTGCAGTTATAGATTGTGTGTGTGTTTGTGTGGGGGGGGGCTGGGGAAACGACAGATAATATACTAAAAGGATAATGCGTGGAAGAAAAGGATTCAGAGTTTCTAGGGTGCTGGGAAGGGGGCCCTGCTATTTTAGCTCAGTTAATCCAGTAGGATTTCCCTGAGGACATAGGAGTTAAGAATGAGGAGAAAGGGGCAGCCATATCTATGGGAGAACCCAGGGGGAGAACATTCCAGGCAGAGGAAACACCCCAAGCAAAGACTGCAAGACAGAAGCCAGCTTGACACCTTTAAGAGATGGGTAGAAGGCTAGAGACTAGAGAATGAATGGGGGAGGCAGGAGCTGTGAAGTTGGAGGGGATTAGGGAGGTAGGCAGTCAGACCACATGGGCCTCTAGGAGTTAAGATTTTATCCTAAGTGCAATGGGCAGCCAGTGGGGGGTGTTAACAACTTAAGTACCATTTTCCCAACAGGTGGGAGTAGTGGGTGAATGGGTGGGTTTGCTTACCTACTGGTCCATGAGTCCTGGTTCCTGAGGGTTAGCTAATAGTCTCTGTAGTTCCCTGTTCCTTAGTCTTCTGCAGCATGCCGAGGTATAGGCTGGGGCAAGGGAGGTTTCTACTGACTGCACTGAATGTGCTGAGGGAACCCTGGAGCCCAGGGAGCCCATATTGCCGGGGGTGGGGGGAGTAGCAGTGGCAGTATGGTCAGTAGTTGGGGATATAGGCCTTGCCATGTAGCAGGTCTAGGTTCTAATACTGCCTGAGTGTCTTCACCTGTCAGATGGGGATAATAATCATGCCTCACTTCTTGGGCTGGGCAAAGATGCAGTGAGATGGTGTGTGTAAGTTGCGTGTCCTGGCGCGTGGCACACAGTAAGCACTACATGTCAGCCACTGTTGTGTGGGGGGTGGAAAATGTAAAAGAAGCAGTGTGAGGAGTTGCCCACTGGCCCATGGGGGAAACTGCTGGGTCCTGTGTGTCACTCTTGTTCTTTCTCCCCAGGGTTTCTTCCCTCCAAGGGCGATTGAGATAGCACAGAAGATGCCTTCTTGGAGGACAGAGCAGGACATCCAGACCCTTTGTAACTTCTTGCAGGTTATGGATTGCTACCGGAATTACTCAGAGCCCCTGCAGCTGCTCCTGGCCAAAGTCCTCCGCTTTGAACGGTCAGTGAGGGGCATACCCCTTGGCCCCTGGGCTGGAGCTGGGCTGCAGCTGGGCTGGGCAGGAAGAGCCCGGCTGAGAAGGCCATGGCAGGTGTGCCAGCCTCTCTGTGGAGTGTCAGCCGTATATTTGTTCATCTTAGTGCTCACTGTTATAGTCGCAGCACAATTTATCTCATCCATTTATTGAGAGTCTACCCAGAATTAAGGAGCCACTGAATCTGGAGAGGATCTGGTAGGAACCTCAGAAAGGATCTGGTCCAATTCCCTCATTTTTCAGATAAGAAAACTGAGGCTCAGAAGGAGAAAATGACTCATCCTAGGTCACCCAGATAATAAATAGCAGAGCTGAGGCTCAAATCCAGGTCCAAAAAGCCAGAATGGATCACAGATGATTATACTACATCCAGACAGGAACCAGGGCAAGGGTCTTGAACTGGGATGAGAGAAAAATTATATCTGTATTTTCATTAATCTCTTTCATTAATATTTTCTTCAATCATGGACATAGGTAACAAACCACTGTAGTATTAGACATTCTTGTGACATTTTTTTACCAAAAGAAATCACAGGTATTTTCACATTATATCTAATTTGTTACAGATTTCTTAAAAAATAGTTTATCACATCTTTGAAAATATGGTAGTTATTAGATGTGCTATTCTTGTTATTTGGTGCATTAATAAAGAGGCACCCATATTGCTATATCACAAATTTGGGTTTTTGTTAACTGTAACTCTGCTGTATTTTATTTTATACATATAAAATGTTATTCTGTGAAGGCTTCACCAGATTGTCACAGGGCCCATGGCACAAAAAGTGCCACATAAATAACTTGTACTAGAGAAGTTTAAAAGGTACATGTGGAAATATTGCCATTTCCTGGACATTCCAATAGCTTATAGGGGACAGCCTAGCGTAGTATTTGAGGTGAGGCCTGTTTTGAAAAGCCAGGATGTAATGTCACTCTAGGTTTGTGCCCTGATATCTTCCTTCATGGAGGTCACAGTCTAGGACATAATCACAACTAACGATAGGTTACGACCCTTTATGAATCGTGCAGGATCCTTTCCATAGGTAATAAGCCAGGGAGAGGAGGTAATTATCCAGCTGGCTTGACAGAGGGATTTTCACAGCAGAGGTGGCATTTGAACAGATAAATTTGATAGGTGGAAGTGTAGATAAGTACATTCCAGGCAGAGGGGACCATCTGCTTTGTTCTACCCCAATGAAGAAGAGCAGGTCACTGCTATCTTAAAGTAGATTCCAGGGCAGGTAGAATGGTGTCATGGAAAGAAAAAGAATCATAGAGATAAAGCCCTGGAATTTAATGCCATGTCTGCCTCACTGGGACCTCAGACAAGCCAGTTAACCTTTCTGAGCCTAGTATCCTCATCAGTGAAATGAGGTTAATATGGATTTTATATAGATCAAGAGATGGTGATTGTTAAAGCCAGTTGTTAATTATTGCCAGGACTGGGAATTAGCAGATTAGATAGGATCCCTCTGGTTGCAAGTGACAGAAAACACAGCCCAGGGGAATGCATTGGTGGTTTATGTATCTGAAAAGTCCTGGGATAGTTCTTCAGCTTCAGGCTCAGCTGGATTTAGGGTCTCAATGTCACCAGGACCCTGTCTGTCTGTCTCCATCTCTTGGTACTTCATAGCATAAGCCAGACTCTTTCTCATGGTGGTGACATGGCTGCTCCAGCCACAGTTCCAAACTTCAATTTTTCTGGTTTCAGTCCCATGAGAAAGAATAACTCCTCCAAGTCCCTCAAGTCAGAGCCTTGAGATTAGTTCTTTATGAACCAGGCTGGCTTCCCTTGAATCAGTGGGCAGTGATGTTCTGATTGAGAATCAAGAAAGGGTGTTTCCCCCAAAGCAAAATCAGGGTGCAGTTAATAGAAAAATGTGACCAGATGCTTGGCAGCAAAAGCAATAGATGTCTACTATAGGAGATTCAGGTTCTAGTGCTGACTCAAGTGTGACTTATTATGTGAACTTCAGCAAGTTGTGGGCTCCCTGAGCCCCACTTTCCTCATCCTGAAAATGTAAATTGAGCTAGATGGTCTCTGAGGGTCTTTCTGGCTCCAGCTCTAGGAGTCTGCACTTGAGTGAACACTGGCTATGCTCTTTTGTCTCCAAAGTCTTATTTCCTGGCAGAATATGCCTGCCTTCTCTCATCTGGTCATTGTCATCTGGCCCATCACCTCTTTCTTACGTTGACATAGCCTCTGGTTTGTAGCCAAACAAACCCACAGCCAGAGGGAAGCCTGAGGCTACTGACTCCAGCCTAATGAAGTCCTCAGTCCATCTGTTCTCTGATCGCTGCCCCCAGGAATTTGTCCCAGGGTCATGAGGCCAGTGGTTGCTCTGGAAGCTCAGAAGGGGAGATATTGCTATGGGCTGAGTGAGAGAGATCTTCCTGGAGGAGGTAGGATCTGAGCTGGACCCTGAGCTCCTTGAAAGAATTTGAATCGGTGGATAAGAGAGGAAAGGTCATTCCAGGCAGAGGGAGCCGTGTGGACAAATTGTGGAACAAAGGCAGTAACAGTTGTCCTGTGCAGAGGGTTGGCTCTGGCTCTCCTGCTTCTGGTAGCTCAGTGAGGAGGGGAAGGGGAATGAGGAGGACCTGTTGATGGCAGAGCAGAGGCTGGAGTTGAGGAACATGACAGCAGTGTGGAAAACACTGGGGCACTTCTACAAAGGCCACTGATTCATCAGACCTTGGCAGAGACTAAAGGGCAGACTTTGGGCTCCACATTGCCGTCTGGGTAAAATCCAAACTTAGCCCAACTTTTGAAGTTCTTGTGATTGCACTGAGCCAGATTTCTCTTCCATTACTCCCCTGATCTCTCCGTCTCCCGTTTTCCTCTCTAATGGCACTTGTAGTTATTCCTTTGAATGTGCCATGCTTCCAGCCACCTCTGTGGCTTTGGACATGGAGGTCCTTCTGCCTGGGACATTCTTCTGTCTCTTTGTCCACCTGTATGACTCCAGAGATCATCCTAGAACTTTCTCTGGCCTTCCTAAGCTAGGTTAAATGCTCCTCTGTGCTTCTGAATTGGCCTGTGTTTACCTCTCTTTAAGCATTTTTAATCCTTATTTAACTGCCTACTTGACCATAATTTTGAGAACAAAATCTCTGTCCTTTACCACTGTGCCTGACAGACACAGTTGGCATTTATTTAACTTACATTGAATGAAGGAAATGAATGAATATTGAAAGAAGCAAGATTTGAGCATGCATTTGAAATACAGAAACTTCCCTTTGAGCTTAAGAACTAACTCCCAGTTTTCTCAGGACCTGGGTGCTTCTACTCTAAGGGTTCCCAGTTGGGTAGTGAGTTCTTGAGGATCACATTGAGACCATTTCTTTGTCTCTTTCTAGGCATACTCATCTATATTTTACAGACACAAGAAACTGAAGCTCAGAAAGGGGATATGACTTGCTCAGTGGCACATAGCTAGGGGCAGAACCAGGATTGGAATCCTGGTTTGACTCTAAAGCCAGTGCTCTTAATTATTTAGCTACTCATCCATTCTTTTCAGCATTTGCTCATTCATTTACTTCACAGCTGCTCATTGAGCATTTACTATGTACCTAAGCAGACTGACAAAGGCTCTGCTCTCCAGAAGCTTCAGTCTAATAGAGGTGGGCAACTAGATAAGGGTTAGTGAAGAAGTGAAGCTTGATGGAGCTGGTACTGGCCTCTTCTGAGGTCCTTTCTAGTCCCAGCCTGTGCATTAATACTCCAGAGCAAAAAGCACTACCAACTTTCCTCCCAGCATGGACTGACTTTGTGTTGCTACTAGATCACATGGCTATGGTCTTTTCCCAGGTTTGGCCGCAGGCGTGTGATCATAAAGAAGGGCAAGAAGAGCAACAGCTTTTATTTCATCTACCTGGGCAGAGTTGCAGTGACCGAGGATGAAGATGGCAGCAGTGCCTTCCTAGACCCCTGCCCGATGTTGCTGCACAAGGGCGACTGTTTTGGGGTAACGGAGGAAGGGCCTGGCTTCCTGGGGTGGGGTTGGGGTGAGAGGATTCCTGCTAGAACCTCTCAGCCAGGCCCAGTCCTGCCTTATGCTTTGTGCAAGCCACTGCCCTGTTGTGGATCCCAGCACCCTTATCTGTCAAATGCCGATTGAGTTGGACCAAGAGATTTCCAAGGCCAACCTCTTCATTTGTGATGTTTAAGGAGTATGTTCCCTATATGACCCCTTAGAGATACAGTGATTCCTCAGTGAGGCCTCTCCAGCTTCCAGTCTCTGGCCTGGTCGAGCCTGTTGCTTGTTTTTCCACAGGCAGCATATTAGGAGGGAGGAGTGGGCCCACCGAAAGGGCGACGAGCAGGAGCACAGGGCTGGCCTGGGAACCTGCAGTCTGGGGAGGAGAGATTTCCAGGGAAAGGAGGAAACAGAAGCAGGAAAGAGGTGTGCAAGGCTGCAAGCAGGAAACCAGAGGTAGCCTCTCACTTGCCTTTGCCCCTGTCTACCCAACAGGAAATGGGCCTTCTGAGTTCTTCAGTAAGGAGGGCCACGGTGGTCTGTATGGAAGAAACAGAGTTCTTGGTTGTCGACCAAGAGGATTTCATTGCTAATAAACTGGACCAGGAAGTTAAAAAGGATGCTCAGCATCGGTTTGATTTTTTTAGGTAACTCCATCATCAGCCAGCATCTTCCCTCTGGGTATTTATTAGGTGCCTAACTTTGTCCCAGACCCAGTGGGAAACTCTAGGTGCTTTTCCCTCTGCCTGCAGTGTTCTTAAATACCCATCTCCCACCCAACTTCTCTGTTAAACTCCTACTATACCTTCAGGTCTCAGCTCAAATATCCCTTCCTTGTAGGATACTAGAATGGCTAATGTGTATTGAGTGCTTGCTGGGCTAGGCAGGGTGCTAAGATCTTTGTACTACCTGCCTTATCGAATTTCACATTCAGTTCTGTGAGGATTTTTTTTCCCCTCCCCAATTTATGGGTGAGGGAAGTAAGGCTCAGGATGCAGATGTCCCAGAATGTCTGATTCAGAAATCCATGGGCCTCACCACCCCACCTCACTAACCAACCCCACCTACCCTCACCCCAGAAGAGAGAGGGTACTCCTCAACACTTTTATCACACTGTGTTAAAACTGTAATTTTTTAAAATATCTTTATTGATTTCAGAGAGAGGAAAGGAGAGGGAGAGAGAGAGAGAGAGAGAAACATCAATGATGAGAGAGTCATTGATCAAGCCTGCAACGGGGCATGTGCCCTGACTGGGAATTGAACCCCGATCACCTGGATCCTAGGTCGATGTTCAACTGCTGAGCCACTCCCGACAGGGCGAAACTGTAATTCGTGATTACACAATACTTTTCTCTTTTTTTTGTTAATCCTTACACAAGGATATTTTTCCATTGATTTTTTTTTTTTTTTTTTTT